CGACTGGAGCTGCGGGCTTCACGGCGGCCACCCCCTTCAACCTCCCCAAACTATCCCACCCCCATTTCACACACCCCCTTCTGCACCCCTAGGTTCACTCACACCCCACCCCCTAGCACCACGCCTTTGGCTCCCACACATCCACCCCCCCTCAGCGGCAGCTGCAGCAGTGGGAGACAAAGGAGGAGGAGGGGAAGGGAAACATACCATCCATCACCCCCATACCCGCCACCCCCATACCCTCCATTCCACGGCTGCACGTGCAGCAGGGAGACGAAGAAGGGGGGGGGGGGGGGGGGGGGGGGGGGGGGGGAGAGCAGCAACGGGCAGCAACGGGCGGCAATGGGCAGCACAGGGAGGCGGCGGCACCGGGTCCAGGGGCGGCGTCGTGGGGTCCAGGGGCGGCTGCTCCAGGGGCCAGAGGCGGCTGCACCAGGGGCGACTGCTCCGACGCACGCCCCCCCCCAGGTCGCCCCTCCCGTCGCCTGTTGAGGCGACCTGAGGGGGGGGGGGAGGGGGGGAGGAGTACGGGGGCCGACGCGCAGCCTCCCAGGGCGCCAGAGTAGGCGGAAGAAGGGGCGACGCGCGCCCCCCGTGCGCCCCCCCCCCCCCCCCCTCCCCCGCTCGCCACGCAAGGCGACGGGAAAAGGGGGGGGGGGGGGGGGGGGGGGCGGTGCACGGGCCCCTGGTGCGCCACGACAGGCATGAGGAGGGCGGGGCCTGGGCAGGGTCGGGGCATGGCAGGGGCAGGGCCGCGTTAGGGCCGCGACAGGGTCGGGGCAGGGCCGCGACAGGTCCGGGACAGGGGCGACGCCGGGCGACGGGGCCGATACGGGGGGCCGCGACGGGGGGCCGCGACGAGGGGCCGCGACAGGGCCTTACGGGGGGCCGCGAAGGGCCGTACGAGGGGCCGCAAAGGGCCGTACGAGGGGCCGCGAAGGGCCGTACGAGGGGCCGCGAAGGGCCTGGCGAGGGGCCGCGAGGGGGGCCTAACGAGGGGCCGCGAAGGGGCCTTACGAGGGGCCGCGAAGGGGCCTAACGAGGGGCCGTGAAGGGGCCTTACGAGGGGCCGCGAAGGGGCCTTACGAGGGGCCGCGAAGGGGGGGCCTAACGAGGGGCCGCGAAGGGCCTTACGAGGGGCCGCTAAGGGCCGTTAAGGGCAGGCGCGACGCGCGCCTCGGGTAGGAAAAAAAAATTCAGTGGTGGGCCCAAGGATCGAGACAGCTCTATACCATGTGAAGTAATGAGGAATGAATGAGAAGATAGGGGTTCACTAGCAAACATTGGGATACATATAGCAAACCCTAAAAGGGCTGTACTCACTATAGAGTACCCCACTGCAGACTAGAGAAACATAATATTCTGACACTGGCAGTCGAGCAAGCAGGAACTAATCGCCCTCTCCTCAGCTGAAGCAGAATATATTGCACTCTGCTCAGCCACCAAGGAAGGACTCTACCTTCGCGAACTGCTGGAAGAGGCAAAATTGGCCCAGTTACCCAATTTCTTTCTGTTCTGCGACAACCAATCTGCAATTCGCATCGCCAACAAAAATGGATTCGCGAACAGGATGAAGCATATCGCCCTGCGATACTTCTTCGTGAAAGACGGGATTGAGAAGGGGAGACTCGAGCTGTCCTACTGTCCCACGTCTGAGATGGCAGCTGATTAGTTGACCAAGAAACTCGGAAAGCAGAATTTCGAGTACTGCATGTTGCTGACTGGACAAGGCCACGTCACCAGCAACGACACTCCAGAAGCGAAGGGGAGTGCTGGGAACAAGTAATTTAAGGCGCCTCTGTCGTGTCAAAACACTAAGCTGCAAACAAAGCAAGGTGCAGCGAAGCATCGGCGAGTCAACCCTCGGAGGTTAAACAACAGCTGGAGGTTACGCGAAAGTCAAAGGTCAGCGACCTTTGACCTGACAAATACAGCGCGACAGCAAGGACACACAACTGACTCGTTATTGAGCAGTTGCCCGAGTCGTCACTGTATCGAACCGCAACAGCAGCAGTAAAACGGTTATTAATCGTATCTCTTCATATTCCTCGCACTTGTCAGAATATTATATTTGTCTAGCCTGCAGTGGGGTACTCTATAGTGAGTACAGCCCAGATTAGGGTTTGCTATATGTACTCAACTGCCTGCTAGTCCAAACCCCCTTTCTCGTTCTAACTTTTGCCTTCTAATCTTGACAGTACTCTTATATAAACCTTGTATCTCTTTGTTTTAATCAATCTACTTTGTCCTCACATACCTGTCAGAATGTTATTATCTAGCCTGTAGTGGGGTGCTCTATAGCGGGTACAACCCAGCTAGGGTTTGCTATATGTATCCCAACTGCTGCTAGTGAAAACCTCTCTCTTTTGCCTAACTTTCTCTTGCCTACCTAGGGCTCACCTAGCCATGGCTCCTAACTCTGTCTACTATTCTCACATGGTATCAGAGCAGTCACGCTCCTGGCCTGTGGGCCCACCTGCTTCCGCTGCCCTACTCTGTGTCGCGCGCCCCGGAGCGCGCGACCTTCGATTTTTCATCCCGCCGCGCGCTCGGGGCGCGCGGCGGTTTTCTTCCCGCCGTGCGCCCCGAGGCGCGCGGCGGTTTCCTGCCGTGGGGGAGCCCGCGCGCGCCCCGCCCGTCCGTCACGGCGCCCTGGGGAGCACGCGCGGCCCCCACCCTGCTCGTCGCAGCGCCCTGGTGAGCCCGCGCACGCCCCGCCTGTTCGTCGCGGCGCCCTGGGGAGCCCGCGCGCGCCCCGCCCGTCCGTCGCGGCGCCCTGGGGAGCACGCGCGGCCCCCACCCTGCTCGTCGCGGCGCCCTGGGGAGCACGCGCGACCCCCGCCCTGCTCGTCGCGGCGCCCTGGGGAGCCCGCGCGCGCCCCGCCCGCCCGTCGCGGCGCCCTGGGGAGCCACGCGCGCGCCCCCTGCCCGTCCGTCGCGGCGCCCTGGGGAGCCGCGCGCGCCACCCCCCCCCCCCCCCCCCCCCCCCCCGCCCCGCCCGTCCGTTTTTGCGCCCTGGGGGTCGCGCGCCGTCCCCCCTCGCCGTCCCCCGCGCTCCTGCCCCTATCCCACCCGTTTTAGGGTTTGGGGGTGGGGAGTGTGGGGGTGGCGGTTGTGGGGGTGTCGGTTGTGCGTTACTCCCATTGCTCCTCCTCCTCCCTCGTCTCCCACTGCTGCAGCTGCCGCTGAGGGGGGTGGGTGTGTGGGAGCCTAGGGTTTAGGGTTTAAGGGGGGTGCCGTGGGAGTGGAGCTAAGGTTCAGCAGGGGGTGTGTGAGAGGGGTGTGGGGCAGCTGGGGGAGGTTGTGTGAAGGTAGCTGTCGTGTCGCCTGCAGCGCCTGTAGTCCGTCGCCCTTGCTTCGGTAGCCAGTGAGCCTGTTGCACCAGTCGCCAGTGGGTCCGTTGCTCCTGCCGCTCGTCTATAGCCGCGGAGCCAGTCACTCCAGTAGTCCGCCGTCGCCCTTGCTTCGGTAGCCACTGAGTCAGCCGCTCCTGTGCCCGTGCCTCTGCAGCTTCAGTCGTTGCCTCGCATCTTCTCTCCCTCCACAGTTCCTCCTCCTCCTCACTTGCCCGCTGGGATTAACTCTAGCTTTGCTTACTATTGTGAACTCCTGCTCTATGCCTGCTTGCTCATTGTGCTGATTATACCCCACTTTGGCTATGGGGGTGTGTCAGAATGTTATTATCTAGCCTGTAGTGGGGTGCTCTATAGCGGGTACAACCCAGCTAGGGTTTGCTATATGTATCCCAACTGCTGCTAGTGAAAACCTCTCTTTTGCCTAACTTTCTCTTGCCTACCTAGGGCTTACCTAGCCATGGCTCCTAACTCTGTCTACTATTCTCACAATACCAGCGCAAGGTGGTTCACAAGAGTTATCATTAACGCTTCCGCTATTACATCATTCATATCTTGAATTTAGTCCTGCAAAGATCCTAAGGGCTTTTCTCAGCCCAACAACATGTTTTTATCATCTCAAGCATTTTACATTCACTCTGCTATTGAGATCAAGGGCCCACCACCACTAGACTAGAAGTGTGCGAACCTTCCTAAGGTGATCCTGGTTACGATCATCCATTGATCGCAGCTATGTTCAAGTTCGAAATCACTGAAACACGTGCAAGTTCGCCCAAAACCCGCTCCAAAGAATTATCGAATTAATAAATAGCAGTGCAGCGCGCTAAGGGTGCATTCCGCTCAGGACATGTAACAGAAGTGCCACAAACATTATTTGTGACTAATTGTAGTTCGAAAACAATGTTCGTGACTAATTGTGATACAACGATGAAAAAATCGTGACAAATTGTGATGCTTCGAACCAAGAACAGTCACGATCTATCTAGATGTCTTACCAGGAATGGTTATATACTTGCTATTCATGATTTTCGGCCATACACAATTAGTCACAAATATGAGTTACGAGGTCACAATTAATCACAAATACGTTTGTGACACTTTCGTTTGTGACATCTCCTCAGCGAAATGTACCCTAACATCTAACCTTCACATAACAACCTATGTGCATGTCCATCACTCTGAGAGTGCCATGGATGCTCTACAATGGACTTCACTGCGAGCTTCAACCTCAAACATATGGTATGAGTCAGCCATGGGATTTGTTGCCAGGTCACTCTCGCGCTGTTTCAGTGGTACCAAACCCGTGTGTACTTCAAAGGGTCTACTTCAAAGTGTCATTGCATTTTCTTGCGATATCCCCCACCAAACATCAGATCAGATCCTTTCCCCCACCATCCTCACTCCCCCCCTCTCCCTCATTATTCAGATACACCCCTCCAATGCTGTACCTGCAACCCCCTATTTCACCGCTCCACTCTCACAATCAGCTAGTTCTTTTTCCCTGATCCCAGCAGCAGCATGCTTCCCCCCACCAAATCCTCCTCCCCAACCACCCTCTCCCCCACACTCCCTCCACCGCTCACCTCGTTATTCAGATACATCCCCCCCTGCTGCACAAGCCGCCTTGCTGCCCTGCAACCCCCTATTTCACCGCTCCACTCTCACAATCAGCTTGTTCTTTTTCCCCGATCCCAGCAGCAGCATGTTTCCCCCCACCAAATCCTCCTCCCCCACCACCCTCTCCCCCTCCCCCACCTTCTCATTGTTTAGATACATCCCTCCCTGCTGCACAAGCCGCCTCGCCGCCCCCTTGCTACCCACTAGCTTCGATGCCGCTGCCACGTCAGCAACGGTTCGGCCAATCACGTCGGCCCATGGGAGCGAGGTGGAGGGTGCATCAGCAGCGATTGCTTCGAGAGTGGCCGGGTCTAGTCTGGTGGAGGTGGAACCTGGGGGAGGGGGAGGGGAGAGTGAGGGAGGAAGCGGGTTGGAGGCATGGGAAATTCAAGAGTCACAACACGAGAAGCAGCACTATGACAACCAGGTGCATGAGGCAATAGCTTCGAATGAGGTGGAGGGAGCAGCCCCAGCGATGACTTGGAGCGTGGCTGGGTCTAGTCTGGTGGAGGTGGAACCTGGAGGGGTTACCTGGAGAAGGTGCAGCGAGGGTGTTATCTGGAGCAGGTGGTACCTGGTGCTTTGAGGGAGTTATCTGGAGCAGGTGGTACCTGGTGCTTTGAGGGAGTTATCTGGAGCAGGTGGTACCTGGTGCTTTGAGGGAGTTATCTGGAGCAGGTGGTACCTGGTGCAAGGGCTTGCGTGGCTCTTAGCGCTTCTTGTAGGCCCTCCTGCCCATGCACAAAACGAGTCACCTACAAAGGGGGATGGGAGAATAGAAAGGGAGAAATATTAGTAAGAAAAGCGTGTTCGTGTTTTCCCCGATACTTCTTGTATCCCTGTTCCCCATGCACATAACGAGTCACCCAGTAAGGAGGACGGGGAAAAACGGGGCCTGTCTAACACAGGACTGAGAATGCATATAGTATACCCCCCACTCGCCCTCCACCCTCGTCCCCTTCTCACCCGTCCCCTCCCCCCTTCTTCCCCTTTCTCCTTTCCTTTGCCGCCCACTTCTCCTCGCCCTGCCATCTCCACTTCTCTCTCTTCCATCCCCACACCGCCTCTCTCTCTCTCCTGACCTCCTGTGCAAGCTCCTTCCCACACTTCCCTCCCACACCGCTGCTGTCTCACACTTCCCTCCCACACCACCTCTCTCGCACTCACCTCCTGTGCCAGTAGCTTTTGAGCGGCGTTGGGCTCGTAGCTCGAATGGCACATGGCGGGTTGAAGGGCCTTGCCCACGCCCCTTACTCCTTCCCTGCCCTGCAAATCCCCCTCGACCACCCCTTGTCTTCCTCGCACTCACCTCCTGCGCCAGTAGTTTCTGGGCGGCGTTGGGCTCGTAGCCCGGCTGACACATGGCGGCCTCCCATTGGTCGATCTCCGCCACGGGCAGGAAGGTGAGCATTCGCAGGAACTTGATGACGTCAGCATCAGGTGTGGCAAAGAGGTACTGAGTGGATTGGGAGGGCGGGGAGGAGTTTTGAGGCGCCTCAAAAATCGTCTCACTTCACGGAGAACAGAGTAGGCATTTGACGCTGCAGGGTATTTTTGAGAATGGCAGAGTATGGGAGGAAGGGAGCAGGGGAACAGGAGGAGGGGAACAGAGTAGGCACTTGACGGGGAGGGAGTGGAGAGGTTGTAGGGGGCGAGAGCATGGCAGCAGACACCCAGATGGCCTCTCCCTCTGACTTGCCCCTATAAGAGCATGGCATCCCATAACCCTCTGCTACCCCCTGCCACCCCTTTGTTACACCTCGTTACCACTCGCCACTACTCAAACTCACCTGGTAGAACTTGTAGGGCGAGAGCATGGCAGCAGACAGCCAGATGGCCCCGCCCTCCGACTTGCCGAACTTGCTCCCATCGCTGCGCAGCAGCAGGGGCCACGTGAGCCCAAACACACTCGGACCCCTCTCCCCCTGCTCCTGCTGCTCCTGCGCTTGTTTCCCCTCCTCCTGCTGCCCTTTTTGCTCCTCATGTGCCTGCTGCTGCTCCGCGTGCTGCCCCTCTCCCCCTGTGGGCGCTCTGGAGGGAACAACGCCTGCTGCCTGCAGCCGTCGCAGCAGGTCGGTGCCAGCAGTGATGTTGCCCCACTGGTCACTACCCCCCATTTGGACCGTGATGCCTTTTTCCTTGTAGAGGTGAACAAAGTCGTAGCCCTGGAGAAGAGATGGAAGAGAGCAGAGAGGCAGGGGAAAGAAGCAAGTCAGTGCTGCCAGCAGTGATGTTCCCCCACTGGTCACTGCCCCCCATTTGGACTGTTATTCCCTTCTCCTTGTAGAGGTGAACAAAGTCGTAGCCCTGGAGGCAGGGATAAGCCAAGCATCAAACGAGGGGTGGACAGAGATGGGATGGGAAAGGGAGCAGTGATGTCCCCCCACTGGTCGCTGCCTCCCATTTGCACCGTGATGCCTTTTTCCTTGTACAGATGCACAAAGGCGTAGCCGTGGGGAGATGGGAGGAGGGGGTGGGAGTGGCAGAGACACCAGGCGGGAGGGGAGGAAAAGAAGGAGGTCGGTGCTGCCAGCAGTGATGTCCTCCCACTGGCCACTGCCCCCCATCTGCACCGTGATGCCTTTCTCCTTGTACAGATGCACAAAGTCGTAGCCCTGGAGAGAGGGAGGGGTAGTGGGTGCGGGAAGTAAGTCACACAGGGCTAGGGGGTTGAATAGGGGAAGGGAATGCCTGTGCAGGGATGTTGCAGCAGGTCAGTGCTGCCAGCAGGGATGTTGCCCCACTAGTCACTGCTGCCCGTTTGAACAGTGATGCCCTTTTCCTTGTACAGATGCACAAAGTCGTAGCCCTGGAGAGAGGGAGGGGAAGGAGGGGGCGGGGTGGGTTGGCAGAGACACGGGAAGGGAGGGGAGAGCAGGGGAGAGGAGCAGGTGGGTGCCGGCAGTAATGTTCCCCCATTGGTCACTGCCGCCCATTTGAACAGTGATGCCCTTTTCCTTGTACAGATGCACAAAGTCGTAGCCCTGGAGACAAGGATAAAGCAAGGATCAAATGAGGGGTGCACAGGGCAGGGGAAGAAGCAGGTCTGTGCCAGCAGTGATGTTGCCCCACCACCACACTGGTCGCTGCCTCCCATCTGCACTGCAATGCCCTTCTCCTTGTACAGATGCACAAAGTCGTAGCCCTGGAGGGTAGGGGGGGCGGGTGGAAGCGGCACCACACCACTAGGGAGGGAATGGGAGGGGAGAGCAGGGGAGAGGAGCATGTCGGTGCCGGCAGTGATGTTCCCCCACTGGTCGCTGCCTCCCATCTGCTTTTGAGTCGACTCAAAAACCGATGCACTGCAATGCCCTTCTCCTTGCAGAGGCGTACGAAGACGCAGCCCTGGGGAGAATGAGGGTGCGGGTCCGAAAGTCACCCAGGAGGGTTAAACAGAAGAGGGGGAAGAAGCAGGTCGGTGCCTGCAGTGATGTTGCAGCAGCCTGCTCACCCGCAGCAGCCTGCTCACCTGCAGCAGCCTGCTCACCCGCAGCAGCCTGCTCACCCGCAGCAGCCTGCTCACCCGCAGCAGCCTGCTCACCCGCAGCAGCCTGCTCACCTGCAGCAGCCTGCTCACCTGCAGCAGCTGGTATGTGAACTCCGTGTAGCTGATCCCTTCCTCTGACACCACTCTCTTCTTCACACTCTGTTTCGCCATCATCGCCCCCACCCGCGCATTCTTGCCCACGTTCCTCAGGAACTCCTGAGTCGTGACTGTGCCCATGCCCCTTATCCCCCTCAGGAGCCCCCACTATCCCTCACCTGCAGCAGCTGGTATGTGAACTCCGTGTAACTGATCCCCTCCTCCGAAGCCAGTCTCTTCTTAACGCTCTCCTTGCCCATCATCGCTCCCACCCACGCGTGCTTGCCCACGTCCCTCAGGAGGTACATCCCCTCCCTCGCCCACGCACCTGCAGCAGCTGGTATGTGAACTCGGTGTAGCTGATCCCCTCCTCTGACGCCGGTCTTTTCTTCACACTCGCTTTGGCATTCTTTGGCTAGCACTCGCACTCGCACTCACACTCGCACTCGCTCACCTTAAAGCCGCACACCCTCTCACCTGCAGCAGCTGGTATGTGAACTCCGTGTAACTGATCCCCTCCTCTGACGCCAGTCTCTTCTTCACACTCTCCTTGCCCATCATCGCCCCCACCCGCGCGTGCTTGCCCACGTCCCTCAGGAACTCCAGCAGCGAAACACCTTTCCACCACTCGTAGTTGTTCACCAGCTCTAGCTTTCCACCGGGAACGCTTCCTTGGTTCTCCTGACAAACAGAGGAGATGAATGGGTGCGTGGGAAAGGCGTGGGAACTTAGTGATGAAAGGAGAGTATACACGCCCCTGCCGCCAGTCGTAGCTGTTCACTAGCTCGAGCTTGCCGCCCGGAACGCTTCCTTGGTTTCCCTACGGCAGGGTTGGGTGGGATGGGGTGGGATGGGGTGGGATGGGGTGGGGTGGGGGAGGGGAGGAAGGGTGGGACAGGAGGGAGGTCCCTTTGTTCATCATCCCCCCCACCCGAGCGTGCTTGCCCGCATCCCTTGGGAAGTCAAGCAGCGACACGCCACCAGTCCAGCAGCGACACGCCCCGCCACCAGTCCAGTCGTAGTTGTTCATGAGGAATCAACACACCAGCAGCACACTACTGATCATGCCTTGGTATAATCTCCCAGCTCTCCAATTGGCCATAGTTTTGAGGCATCTCAAAACTACATTAGCAACGAACTGCTGATCATGCCTTGATAGAAACTCCCAGCTCTCTCTTTGGCCATCATAGCCCCCACCTGTGTGCGCTTGCCCACGTCCCTCAATCGCGGGACGGGGAAGGGAGCGTGAGAATGAGGCAGAGCAATGGCTGATAGCTGCAGGTGCAGCTGCAGCACAGCACACACACACTCACCGGTCGGGACAAGATGTCTTGGAGAACCTTGTATATCCCGCTGCTGTTCCTCGCAACTGTTTCCTCATCCATCACGGTCGCTCCACACTCTTCCCTGAAGGGTCCCCCACCCGCGCTCAGCCTGTTTGGTACCCCGGCCGCTCCACATTCTCCATTAGTGGGCTCTCTGGGGCGGCTACCAGGACGTGACAGGATGGCACTCTACAGCTCATCAAACTCACCGGTCGTGCTGACTTTTGAGTCAACTCCAAAGTCACCTCTAAAAGTCACCTTTTGAGTCGACTCAAAAGTCACCTCTCTGGGGCGGCTACCAGGACGTGACAGGATGGCACTCTACAGCTCATCAAACTCACCGGTCGTGAGAGGATGTCTTGAAGGACTTTATAAATTCCGCTGCTGTTCCTCGCGATTGTCTCCTCATCCATCACTGGCCGCTCCACACTCTTCCCTGAAGGGTCATCCACCCTCATCAAAGCTTCATTCCAGCCCTGAACTCACCGGTCGAGAGAGAATGTCTTGAAGAACCTTGTAGATCCCGCTGCTGTTCCTCGCAATCGTCTCCTCATCCATCACTGGCCGCTCCACACTCTTCCCTGAAGGGTCCTCCACCCTCATCAAAGCTTCATTCCAGCCCTGAACTCACCGGTCGTGAGAGAATGTCTTGAAGAACCTTGTAGATACCGCTGCTGTTCCTCGCAATCGTCTCCTCATCCATCACTGGCCGCTCCACACTCTTCCCCGAGGGGTCCCCCACCCGCGCTGTAGCCCCCCCCAGCAGCGCCACTGCTGTGTGCCCACACCGCTGCGCCCATGCCAGGGCGATGATGCCGAGGAGATTTCCGAGGTGGAGTGATTCTGGCAAAGGGGAGGAAGAGGAGGTGTAAAAACATCAGTCGCCTTTGGAGGACACCTGTCCCCCACGCCACCCGTGCTGTGGCTCCCCCCAGCCAGCAGCGCCACTGCTGTGTGCCCGCACCGCTGCGCCCATGCCATGGCGATGATACCCAGGAGATTCCCCAGCTGCAGCGACTCTATAGAGGGGTGGAAAGGGGGAGAAAACATTGGAAGCTCATTCTGGAAACTTAGGCAGGCGTAATCCGTGCATGAAAGTAACCCAGGTTAAAGCATGACGAGAGCTTTGAGACGTCTAAAAACACATTGAAAGCTCATTCTGGAAGCTTAGGCAGGCGTAATCCGTGCATGAAATTAACCCAGGTTAAAGCATGACGAGAGCTCACCAGCGGTGGGGTCGAAGCCGACGTAGATCTTCAAAGGGTGCTCTGCCGCTGATCATGGGTGCACGGGGGCGAAGAGGGGTGACGAGGGGTGAAGAAGGGTGACGAGGGGTGAAGAGGGGTGACAATGGCCGAGATGAAAATGCAGCAGTGTAATCAAACACGGTCAGAGTGCTATTCTTTTCCCCCCAGGGTGGAGGGGAAGGACGGGTAAACACGTGTTTTCCTAGAGTGGGCGGGTGGGTGTTGCAAACACGTGTTTCCGTAGCATGTCGCAAAGTGAGAGAGGAGTGTGACTAGAACAAAGAAGGGGGTGGCACAGGGCTGGGCTCACCTCACCTTCCCGGAACGAGGCTTGAGTCAACTTAGAACACGACTCATCACACGTGCCGCAAAGCGAGAGAGGAGAGTGACTAGAACAAAGAAGGGGGTGGCACAGGGCTGGGCTCACCTCACCTTCCCGGAATGCCTCGCTCGTGACTGCATCGGCCAGGCCCCTCTCCCTCAACACGTCCTCACCTTCCCGGAATGCCTCGCTCGTGACTGCATCGGCCAGGCCCCTCTCCCTCAACACGTCCTCACCTTCCCGGAATGCCTCGCTCGTGACTGCATCGGCCAGGCCCCTCTCCCTCAACACGTCCAGCAGGTTTGGCCTTCAAGGGGGGAGAGGTGCGGGGGGGTACGTATGGGTAACGATGGGTGATGATGGGTGATGGCAGCGATGGCTGGCAACGCTCGTGACTGCATCGGCCAGGCCCCTCTCCCTCAACACGTCCAGCAGGTTGGGCCTTGCGTGGGGGGAGAGCATGATGGTCGGTGATAATGGGTGGAGGAGGGGGAAAATGAGGCAGTAAAGGAGGGGGGACACAACATTCTCGTGACAGCATCGGCCAGGCCCCTCTCGAGAATTCTCAAAAGTAACATCAACATGGGAGAGGCGGATGAGGCAGAGTACAAGGCAGGCAGGGATGGCCGGCCGGCAGCTCTCGTCACCGCACTCCCCAGCTACGTTGATGCTCGAGGCGCCTCAAAAGACTTTTGAGGCGCCTCAAAAGACCTCTCGTGGCCGCTCTCCCCAGCCATGTTGATGCTACTTTTGAGAATTCTCAAAAGCCCCTTCACTCTCTCTCCCACGACACGTCCAGCAGGTTGGGGCTTGACTGGTGGGCGGGGGGGGTAATCATGGGTAGTGATGGGTGATGGTGGGTGATAATGGGTCACAAGGAATGAGGCAATGCGGGAGGGGGTACAAGGCGCTCTCGTGACTGCATCCCCCAGCCCTCTCTCCCCCACCTGCTCCGCCTCTCCCCCAACTGCTCCGCCCCCCACCTGCTCCGCCCCCCACCTGCTCCGCCGATCCCCCACCTGCTCCGCCTGTCCCTCACCTGCTCCGTCTGTCCCCCACCTGCTCCGCCTCTCCCCACCTGCTCCGCCTATCCCCCACCTGCTCCGCTCATCCCTCACCTGGTTGCGCTCTCCTTCACTCCCGCCAACGCTCGCTCCGCGACTGCCGCAGCCGCAGCGGATCCCACGCCGCCATCTCCGCCGGCAGCAGCGGCAGCCGCGAATCGACGATAAGACGAGGACGCGCTGCGGGACGCCTTGGATTTGGAAGATAAGATTCCGACTGATCTCGACGCGCACGGCGCGCTTGAGACAACTCTAGTGGAGCGATCGGGCAGTGCTGACGTGGCGCTTTGCGAGGCGACAGCTGGGGCGGCGCTGCTGACTGGATACTGTGCGGCGGGAATATTGAGCGACGAAGCGCAACGGGAATCGAGGCGCAATGCGCGATGCGGGATCCGCGGCAATGCGCGCGATGCGGATAGTCGCAGCATGGCGGACGGCGCAGCCATGATTTGCGCGGGGGGATGCGGGAACTGAACGGAGGGGTTCAGGGGAAGAAAGTCGCGGTGGGACGAAAACGGTCTACGCGGCAATATTAGGAGTCGCCGCCGCAGAAATAAGTTGACGCGCCGCGAATGCTACGCGACAGTGAAGCAGCAGCCACTCATTAGTGGTGAATCATCTGCAAAAGTGATTTGAGTGCCACGTCATCCAGGGAAGATGTGTGCCTTATGGGCACTGCTTCAGCCACAAAGCACTTGTCCGCGCAAAAGAGCGCTCTGCTACATGCCACAGCTGGTTGTAAACGCAATAAATTGCTGTACGCAACAAGTTCACTCCAAACTCGAATTACTTTCTTATTACAGTATCAAAATTTCGTTTGCGAAAAATCGCTGTTGTTACAAGACCTGTTCCCACGGACTGCTGGCATCACCGACATCTACAGAGCTACGACCCCTAGTCGAAAGCTACGTTTTCCGCCACGCGTCTCCCAAACCCGAGTATCTTACATTACTGCCTGGTGCTCAACATTTTGCTGGGTTTTGGTTGACATTTGTTCCTAAGTTCAATTGTGTGTCGAACGACTCGACCTAGGAACGAGCCCCCAAGATTCCTGCTCGAATTGATTCCTTCCTTCCCTGCAGCAGAAACAGATGTGCATGCAAGCACCACCACCAAGCATTGCAGCTTCCTCGCAACGCAAAGCAGCCCGTCAGTCAGCCCGAGGACGCGATTCCTTGTTTCGCGAGCGATCTAGTAGGTCGCTGGAACGGCGTCGCTTGTTACGGTCCTGCGTAATATTGTCGTAGCGTGGGACCCGGAATCAAAAGCATACTTTTAATATCCACGCTCTTAATTTGAAGGGGAGTTCGTACTTTTCCATAACAGTACTGAATTGCTGTAGGGATTTCGAATCTGACGCGTGCTTTTTCGTCGGATCTCAGTACGATCCGATTTTTAGCCGTTGCGTAATACTGAGAAGTGGACGTGCTAGGGGAGTGGAAGGAGACACCGCGTGCCACTCCAGCCTCTGGCGCTTCTGATTCGTAACGCGAGCAGCAACCCTCTAAGCCGTGCGTTAGCCGCGTAAACTGTGCGAAAGCAGGCTAATCCGTGCGAAGCGCCGTACACTGCGCTGCGGCCCCTTAGAAACGTGAAGGATCCAGACCGGAATGACGTGGATTGCGGAATGGTTGGGTAGTCTACCGACGCCGCTGCTGCTGCTGTTGTCCGCTGTGAGTGACTCACTAGCTTCTCAGTATTTGAGGTATCTAGAATCAGAAACATACTGATTTTCAAGGCGCCTCAAAAATACGCTTTTGAGGCGCATAGAAAATTATCATTTTTTTTTTTATTTAAGTGCCTCAAAAATTGTCCTTCGTAGTCGCCTCAAAAATCGTCTGACTAACATTTAGGTGATTCTGAGGTGACCTGCGTTGAGGAATTTCCGAAGTAAAATCAAATTCTGATTCAAGAGTGTATACGTGGTGTCATGGAATTCAATGTTAAGAAACCCTTGGGAATGTCGAAGTGACATTGGGGATGTGTGGGTCACAGTGAGTGTCGGAGGGACATCGGGGAGTGGTGAGACTCGGTTAAGGAAGCTTGCGAGATTGTTTATTTTCTTCTGACCCGTATATCCGTAATACCACATGTACTTGCTCGTCGTTCTAGGTTGAATTCCAGTCCCAGTCGTCTTACTTCTCACGGTTTCACCTCCTTGCCTATGTTCTTCTGACTTTGTATTTCTGTACAAGTACAGGCGCTCCTCGCTCTTGTCTGGATCCTAGCCCTCCTCATATCGCGGCTCCTTCTCCTGAACGCAGGGATCAGGTGGGCTTCCTCATACGCCGTGCAGATTGCTGCTAGATCCATGTGGCACTTTGCTGTGTGTCCCCCTCCCTTTACAGCCGTTGTGGGACTGTTTCTGTGAAGTTTCTTGCGAAGCACTGTTCATGGATAGAGAACCTCACCCTCACCCTCACCCTCACCCTCACCCTCTCCCTCTCCCTCTCCCTCACCCTCACCCTCTCCCTCTCCCTCACCCTCACCACTGCCTGCCTCATTGAAATCACTTTTGAGAATTCTCAAAAGTGATTTCAATTCGCCCTTGCCCCTGCCCCTCACCACTGCCTGCCTGCCTCTGTGGCGCAGAGCGCCTCTGCCCCCCTCTCTCCCCGCCCCATTACTGTTTGCAGTGGCTCAGAGAGGGAAGCGACTTTTGAGTCGACTCAAAAGTCACTTAGTGGCTCAGAGAGGGAAGCGACTTTTGAGTCGACTCAAAAGTCACTTAGTGGCTCAGAGAGGGAAGCACCCTTCATGGAGGACCGTTCCTCTGTGGACAAGGTGCCTCTGCCCTTCCCCACTGCCTGCTCTCTCTGCTAATTATCGGCTCACTTGAAGCCTGTCCCTCTTTCCAACCACCCCCCCCCCACTCCCCCTCTCTCCACAGCCACACGGAGCACGACACACCCTTCATGGAGGACCGTACCTGTGTGGACAAGGTGCCTCTGCCCTTCCCTACGGCTCACTTCCAGAGTTTTTTCCCTTCTTCTCCTCCCCCCCTCTCTCCACAGCCACACGGAGCACGACACACTGTCCATGGAGGACCCTACCTCCGTGGACAAGGTGCCTCTGCCATTCCCCCCACTGCCACTTCTCTGCTCCTTATCCGCTCACTTCTACTGGAGTGTTTGTGCCCCTTCTTCTCTCCCCCCCCCATCCACAGCCACACGGAGCACGACACACTGTTCATGGAGGACCCTACCTCCGTGGATAAGGTGCCGCTGCCCTCGCTGTTTGCTCCCGCAGAGCCTCAGTGCCATAGAGTGCCTTTGCTTCCCTCTCTCCCCGCCCCACTACTCTTTGCAGCGGCTCAGAGACAGAGGCTCTATTCATGGAGGACCCAACTTCAGTGGACAAGGTGCCGCTGCCGTCTCTGTTTGCCCCGGCAGAGAAATACCTCACTGTGGTGTGCCCTGCTTATAACGAGGACAGAAGAATTGCGGCCACTCTGGACGAGATTATCAGGTGGGGAGGCATGGGAGAATTTTTATTAGGGTGTTGAAAAGGGTAGAATGCCTATTGGGGTACTGGAGGGAAGGGTTGTATGGCAATAGTAGTTTATCACGCCACTATCGAATACAGGACAGCAATACTCACAGACCCCCTCCCCCACCTCCCCCCCTCTCCCAACACACACACACACACACACACACACACACACACACACACACACACACACACCACCAACTAAGTGTGCAAGTAATATTAATGTTTTGACCCCATTGCATTCCCTCTCCCCTTCCCTCTCCTCCTCTCCCCCTCTCCCTTCTCCTCCTCTCCTCTCTTCCTCCACTTCCCTCCCCTTCAATCCCCTCCCCTTTCCCAAGCAGTTATGTGCAGGAGCGATCAGCCAAGGACGCAGCGTTTACCTACGAGGTATTGCACCGCACTGCACTGTCCCGTACCGCACGACTCCACTCTGCACCGCACCTCACGGCACTGCACCATTCTGAGGCTATGCACGCATATTCCCCACGGCACCCGTCTGGACATACCCACCCCACCCGATAGGCACAGCAAGGTCACTCCGAAGAAAATCCTGTTTGTTCATTCCTCGGTGTTATGGACTCTCCTCCTTCCTCGCTGTGGTGTTTGCCTGTGACCCCCACCAATGATTGCCGTGTGTGATAAGCCGTGTGCGACTCAGAAAATCCTGATTGTTCATTCCTCGGTGTTATGGACTCTCCTCCTTCCTCGCTGTGGTGTTTGCCTTTGACTCCCACCAATGATTGCTTTTCCTCCTCATTACTACTTGTTCTTTTGGCTGCACTCCTCCCCCCTCCCACCAGGTCCTAGTGGTGGACGATGGCAGCACGGACAGCACAGTCGCCGTGGTGTTTGACTGTGTTAAACGGCTTGGGATGAACCCCTACTTGTTCTTTTGGCTGCACTCCTCCCCCCTCCCACCAGGTCCTAGTGGTGGACGATGGCAGCACGGACAGCACAGTCGCCGTGGTGTTTGACTGTGTTAAACGGCTTGGGATGAACCCCTACTTGTTCTTTTGGCTGCACTCCTCCCCCCTCCCACCAGGTCCTAGTGGTGGACGATGGCAGCACGGACAGCACAGTCGCCGTGGTGTTTGACTGTGTTAAACGGCTTGGGATCGACCGCGTGAGGGTGGTGAAACAGCGGGTCAACCAAGGGAAGGGAGCAGCTGTTAGGAAGGTGGGTGTGTGTGTGGCACAGAAAGGAAGGTGGGTATGCTAGTGGGTGAATGGGAGGGGGTGGGATTTTGGGAGCGGATGGGGATTGACTGAGTGAGAGTGGTGAAGCAGCGAGTCAATCAAGGGAAGGTAGCGGCTGTTAGAAAGGTGGGTGTGTGTGCATGCCGGTAGTTGGATGGAAGGAAATAGGAAGTTTCATCCTCACTTCTTTTCCTACCCCTTCTCTGTCTTTTAAACCCGGGGTCTGTCTTTGTTTCCCTTATCCTTTATGCCGCTTCTCTCTCACTCATTCTTTCCGCCCTCCTCCTCCTCCTCCTCCTCCTCCTCCTCCTCCTCCTCCTTCTCCTCCTCCGTCTCCTCCTCTTTCTTGTACACCCGTGACCCATCATCTGTTGCATGGTTCCCTTCCATCAGGGCGCACTGTGCTCACGGGGGGAGCTCGTCCTTTTTCCCTTCTCTCCCTCATTCCTTTCCCTGTCCCCATGTCTCTGTCTTTCTTGTTTGTTTCCCTTCCATCAGGGCGCGCTGTGCTCACGGGGGGAGCTCATCCTTTTTGCGGATGCGGACGGTGCAACGCGGTTCACAGATCTAGAGAAGCTGGAGAGAGGGGTGAGGGGGAGGGGAGAGAGAGGGGAGAGAGAGGTGAGGGAGAGGGAGAGGGAAGTGTGGAAGAGGGGAGAGATGGGAGTAGTCACTGGGTGAGTTTTGAGAAGGGAGAGGCCAATGTAGTTAACGCTGATAACCCTTTTAGGATCATGTGACTTTTGAGTCGACTCTTTGTAGTCACCTTGTAGTTAACGCTGATAACTCTTTTAGTATCATGTCTCATTTTTCTCTTTACTCTGGTCCCTTGTGAGTCAAATCATCAGTGTCAATATCAGTGTCATTATCAGTGTCATTATCAGTGTCATTATGAGTGTCATTATGCGTGTCAGTGGCAGTGTCATAGCCTGTGCCTTAAGGTTCTTCCTACCTCATCCCGATCCCACCTTGTTTCAGATTGTCAGCATGACCAAGGGGGGACCGGTTGACAGCCAATCAGCTGTCGCCACGTGTCCTGGCATTGGCAGCGCCTCCTTGGTGGCTTTTGGTTCGCGCGCTCATCTTGAGAAGAAAGCGCTCGTCAATGTGAGTTGTTGCTACTAGGTGGTTACCAAGTAGTTTCTAGGTGGTTACACACTGTGCACTGTTCGTGGTTTCATTCAATGCTTCACTCCCATCAGACAAAACCTTTTGAGAGGAAAGGGCCCTTCGGATTGAGTGGAGTGGATAAGTGGTTGGTCGTTGTGCATTGCTTGTAGTTACCATGTGACGTCGCTTCGTGAGGATACTAGGTTTCAACCCTCTCTCTTTTCCAGCTCAAGTCGTCCCAAAATTTGCTCGTGCTGCTTCGCGGTGCTCCTTCTCCCTCGTACCTCTCATCACAATTGTTTGCCGTGTTTTCCTCCCTTCCCCATTCCCACTCCAGCGCAAGTGGTATTGCAACATGCTCATGTACGGCTTCTCCTTATCGCCTCCCGCTGCTCGCACCCATCGTCATCGTTGCTTTGCTTTCCCCCCTCTCCCTTTCCCACTGCAGCGCAAATGGTACTGCAACGTGCTCATGTACGGCTCCCACTTTGCAGTGCTCTCTCTCCCTTGTACTCACCACCATCTTTCCCCCCTGCCATGTTCCCTTCCCCCTGCCATGTTCCCTTCCCCTTCTCTCCTCCAGCGCAAGTGGTATCGCAACGTGCTCATGTACGGCTTCTACTTTGCAGTGCTGCTTGCTACAGGGGGGACGGGAGTGAGAGACACACAGGTAAGGGGGCACACACGTGAGAGCATACCTTTTGAGACGTTTCAGAAGCAGCAAACATGAGACTAAAAAAAATGCATGGGTTTGCTTCTTCTCTTCCTTGAGGCAACTCTCAGCGCACTTCTCCGTGCTTCCATCTCTACTGTTTCCTTGATTTCACCTCCCTCAATTGCAGTGTGGATTCAAAATGTTCACTCGCTCAGCTGCCCGGAAACTCTTCCGCAATCAGAGGCTCAACAGGTAAGCTGTCTAGCAGTTTGTCTACGCATCATTGCTCGATGATTGCTTTGGAATCAAGTTGCAGAATCATGTATGCTCCTCAATTGTTCTCACATAAGCCCCAATTCACCAATTTTTGCTCTCTCTGGTATTTTCCGCCCCCTCTCCCGTCAATCATTATCCAGGTAAACCTGTAATACATACCTGTTCAAAAATATTAATATTCCCAAGACGTTTCAAAAGTCTTTTTCTCCCTTTCCCCATCACTCCCCTCCAACCGGACGTGTGGAATTGATGTACCTGTGCAAGAAGCTGCGTTATTGTTTGAGAGGTCTAAGAACCTTTTTGTTCCCCTTTCCCGCCAATCTCCTTGCAGATGGACATTTGATGTGGAGCTCCTGTACCTGTGCAAGAAGCTGCATTTCTAGAAGCCAATTTCAAAAAAAAAAAATCTCCCTTTTCCTGTCAATCCCCTCCAGATGGACGTTTGATATGGAGCTGCTGTACATGTGCAAGAAGCTGCAAACTAAAAGATGTCTCAAATGCTGTTTTCCTCCTTTTCCCATCCACCCCTTCCAGATGGACGTTTGATGTGGAGCTGCTGTACCTGTGCAAGAAGCTGCACATCAGGGTGGCAGAGGTTGCAGTTGCCTGGACGGAGATCCCAGGGTCCAAGCTCCGGCCTACCAGCATACTCCATATGCTCTTTGAGCTTTCCCTGATTCGCATCGGTTACGGGCTGCGCATTTGGAAGATCAAACAGGACCTCATCAACAATTAGTACCATATGTGTTGACCCTGATGACAACAAGTAGAAGGTGGCTCGATCAATTGCATTTGGCTGAGTATCTTCATGTGCCTACCAGTGAGGAATCAGATGTTTGGACCTTGCTGTTGTGTACATCACAAGATGAGTTTCAGGTGCAGTTTTATCACATTTAGGAATAGGCAAAATAATGTGAGGAGAGGAAGAGGGGGGAAGGAGTGAAGGTTAACCTGATTCGATACGAGTCCAACAGATTGTTAAGCCTGCAAAACTCTAATCCAAGAGTAGGAAAACAATCTCCACATCGTCTAGGCACAGTAATACCGTAAAGTCCACGTAGGGCTTTTCCAAGGGTGTTGTCTTACGACAAAACAATTATAGTACAGCTATTTACAGCGAAGAGAAGTGGATAATGTACATATAGGGGATTACTACCATGCCCTACATTCCCCTCAACTGGATGCATCAGCATGGCATTGTCTTGTAACAATTGCACGAAGGGGTCCACACATAGCGGATGCATGTGCTTGCAAACGCCGCGGTATCCATGCTGCTGCTTGTAGTTGTTTCTTGCAGCAGACGCCTGTGGGCAATTTTCCCCCAAGAAACAGGAGAGCTTCCCCTAGTAGTAGTGGTGGTTGTTGCTGAGCCATCCACAGGATACGATGCATAGAAAATGTTTCCAATGATTTCCGGAGGAGTGTTGCCGGGCTTTGCAAGTGGACGGTAAATCAGGTAAGCTGTTGCCCATTTGGGTGTCACTGAGACGGATTCAGGAACCCGAGTGACCAGGATGGCACCATAGACTCGAGTGACTGCTTTCTGTTTGAAGTTCTTATACAGGTACGAGGCGACAGCACCATCAATGAATGGAGGAAGAGTTGCTTGGAATCCAGGGCCCTGCATAGACGTTCCAGCACAATGTCAGACGAGAACGTCATGGAACAAGGATGATGATTGCGTGACTTGCATAATCTGGAAGAAAAAGAAGGTCATGTTGCAGCTTACCGTAAATGTGACGTTGGAGCTGTGTTTTGAGACACTAAGTGTCGTTGGTGCACCCTCCACAGTCAGATCACGTGGATACTCATTTGATGTGCACAGGTGCACATCTTGGCTCGCGATCTGATTCTGTGAGACGAGAGAGACGACGTATGACGAATCCTGGATGCCTGCTGGGAGCTCAGCCATAGATGCTGTCGTAAAACCGCCATCCGTAGAGTTTTGGATGTACACATCAACCAGAGAGTCAGGTAGGCAAGATCGTTGACCTGGAAAACGACGACAGCAAGTTTGTATTATGAGAATGTGCGTCAAGAACCACTCGTTGTCAGATGACAGACTTGGGCTAGCTTGACAGGACAGCAACCATTTTCACCACCCAATCAGGAAATATGAGAATGCTTACTGGCTAGCGGCGAACTTCCAATGTATAGAAAATCCGCATCTGTGGCCAGTGTTCCTGTAAAAGACAAGAGATTTGCGGCCTCCGCTGAGGATTCGAGCAGCGGGACGCCATATGCAGCTGTTCTGTTCTTCCCCAGACACAGAGCGTCCACAGGGGCTTGGTATCTCTGTATTGGTGGAAATTTGCACAAGGGGGATAGGTACGACTGAGAAATAGTGACTAGAAAGAAGCCATTTCGATAGGAGCAATCAAGAGTCCTTCTACTGACGGCTAAAGAAGGCGGAAAGTTACTGAGCTCGTACCGTCAGCACCACATCAAGCTCTCCAGAAGCCAAGGTGAATAACGATATGGCTACGTGAGCTGCCAAGATCATCAGAGGAATGTGCGGGGCCATTTGCGTTGGATGAGCAATCGGAGTCGCAAAATTATTGATGGAAGGTATGAATTGCTACCGCAACTGCTGACACTTATATATGTGGGCCTGTAATACGGCCTTAGACAGCTAAGGAGCTTATGACCGCATCGCAGAATGCACGACACCTGAGTGGACGACAATGCCAGACTGTCAACCCCTGGCAACGCCATTTTGCGGTTAGCTGTTTGCCTGAACCCGTTTATCCGTTTACAGTCCGTCCCGCAGGTTGCGGGGAAACCATGATTGAAACATGGCACCAAGCCCTCCACATCAAAGCAACCACGTCAGTCAGTTTACAAAGACAATCTCCATTGTCGGTAATCTGACCGTTTTACATGGCGATTCTCAACGAGATTCTACCGACAACATGCACATGCACTGCTTCTGACCCAACATGTCCATCACCAGACGCCGACCAGAGATCCCTCGTCCAGCACCGCTGCCGTCGCTAGCAATCGCCTACCGTTCGCTAGCTTCGTCAAACGCATAACTAGGGACCAGTTACAGAAACACAAGGATTTCGCCTTCTGGAGACGACCGGGATTGCCGAATGGCTGCATTCCTCCTGCGTACGTGACTGACTCGCTCAGCCACAAGTACTGTCCAGCAGCATCGAGCAGCATATGTCTTTCCCCGCGACCCATCTGGACCGTCCGACAATTTCTGCCACGATGAGCGCCTCGAAAGAGGTGTTGATGAGATCCCAAGGTAGTTACGGTTTCCGCAATTCTCGCTGCGTCCCATCCCAACTGAACCCCGCTAGTCAAATTTCGCTTTGATTTCCCCAGGGGGTTGGCCTGCGGGTGAAGGCGCCTAGCGAAACAAAGCATTCTGTTTCGCCGAGGCAGGTTGTTGGTTCGCGACTGCCTGATGCGTAACGGACACATGTGGCGGTTGTATTCAGACAACTGAAGAGGAAGGTGCTCCAACGAAAATCTAGGTGACGCACATACCGTACATTACCGCATACCTGCACTGTACATGTATATTTCTGACAGGGAAATTTGCAGGAAGTGGGTTCTTCAGTACGTAATTGGCAAAAGGGTGACGAAGCAAAATTATTTCAGTAAATTAGAAGTTTCAGTACACTACATTTTGTTTAACACCCTGCCTACTTCTAACTGTGTCTGGAATAGATTAGTATCCATGGATGCCCTGTAGGAGAGAAAAGGCAAAAAAAAAAAAAAAAAAAGTCAATGCAAGTCTTATCATAGCTTCAGGGCAACTGCACAGTATGTCTGTCTGCGTTGATGTATAATTGCTGGTAAAGAGCTGAGGGAGAGAGGGCATAGCGGAAAGGAAGGGTTTCAGGCGAAGCGAGAGAAGGGGGGTGGGGAGAGAGGAGCGAAGGAGGTGAGGGGGGGGAGAAGAGAGGGAGTGGACAAACAGGGTTTGTAATGAGAGGGGAGGGGGGAGGGAAAGAGGGGCCATGGCCATAGCTTACCAAGAACATCCACAGCAGACATGCGCTTTGCAGGATCTTTTTCAAGCATCCCCTTCAGCAACTCCTTCGCCCCTGCCCCGATTTTCCTCCACCGGGCAGCTTTGAATTTCACCGGCTTCTCCCGAATCGCCCGGAAAATCTCCTCATTAGTGTCGGCAAAGAAAGGCGGTGCCCCGCAGAGGAGAGTGTAGAGCACCACTCCGGCACTCCAGATATCGGCTTCGGGCCCGTAGGAACCTGCTAGGACCTCTGGTGCGATGTAGTAGGGCGTGCCGACAAACTCCGTGAGAGGCACGCCTGGGGTAGCACATAGAAGGGACACTCATGAGAGCACGTGGAAGACAGACAAACGGGAAAATGAGGAAGGGGAATACAAAGAACTTAAGAGCCTGTCAGTAACTCTGGTGCAACAAACTCTGAGAGGGGCGCCTGGGGTAGCACAGAGAAGGGACATTTACAGGAGCACATAGAAGACACATACACACACAGAAGGAAAAGCAACAGGCTGAAGCCTGCATACAACGTTCTGCACCGTTCTGCACTGTTTTGCACGTACCATCCTGGAACCTTGCAGCGACGCCAAAGTCAATCAGCTTGACACACGTGTCATCATCCCTCTGCATCAGCAGAATGTTCTCCGGCTTCACATCCCGGTGCATGATCCCCTGCGAGTGGCAGTACTGCAACGCTTCCACCACTCGCACCAACACCACCGCCGCCTCTTCCTCTGAAAACCCCCCTCTCCCCTCCGCACTCCGGTCTGTGCTCCTCCCTGCTCCGAGCCTGTGCGCATTCTCCTTGCTCTGATTGCTGTGCTTGCTCCAGCGCTGCTTGATGCGATCAAAGAGGTCCCCGCCTCGAGCAAGCTCCATGAGGATGTGGATGTGCCTGGGGTCCTCCATTGAGTCGTGTATTTCAATGATGCTCGGGTGTCCCTTCACCTGCTGCAGCACTAATACCTCCTTCCGCACGTCCTCCGCGTCTTCTGCTGACTGTGGTTTGAGGAGGGAGAAGAGAGAAACAGGGGAAAGGATGAGGAGACCAAAGAATCAGGAAGAGCAGTGACTGCCTTCACCTGCTGCAGCATTGACACCTATTTGCGTCATTGTGTTCGAGAATGACCCTCTCTCACCTCGATCTTCTGCTTGCTGATGGTCTTGCAGGCGAGCAAGGCTCCTAATGCACGGCTCTCACACGACCGGATCACCCCAAACTGCCCCACGCCCAGCTCCTCCTCCCCCACCTCGTACAGCCGCGTCAACTCCCGGTACGGCCGCCGCAGCACGTATGCTGTGGGACCCTAGTTACTTACGACCTATATTGGAGTGACTTTTGAGAATTCTCAAAAGTCACTCCAATATAGCACGTATGCTGTGGGACCCTAGTTACTTACGACCTGCCTAAACTCTCCCTCACCTCAATCTTCTGCTTGCTGATGGTCTTGCAGGCCAGCAGAGCCCCGGTCGCGCGGCTGACACACGAGCGGATGACCCCAAACTGCCCCACGCCCAGCTCCTCCTCCCCCACCTCGTACAGCCGAGTCAGATCCCTGTATGGCCGCCGCAGCACGTACGCGGTTGGGCCTGCTCCCCCACCCTCTGCCCACGAGGAGATGCGGCGGTGGGTTCGCGGGCTGGGGGCGGGGCGGAAGGGAGAGGGGGAGCTTGAAGTGCGTTTTGAGGCGCGGATTGAGGCGCGGATTGAGGCGCGGATTGAGGTGCGGTTTGAGGTTCGTTAGGGTGGGTGGCAGCGGTTGGGGCGGGGTGGGTGTGGGGGCTTGGGGAAGGGCGGTGAAGGTTTGCGGGAGGGGGGAGCGGGAGGGGCATGGGGCTGTGAGGAGGGTGCGGAGGAGTAACAGGTTTGGCTGTTCCGCCTCCGCAGCTGCTGTTGCTGGTCCTTCTGCTGATGCCGCTCCTGGTGCTAGTAGCAATGCTGGTTGTGCTGGTGGTGCTGCTGATGGTGTTGGTGACATTGCCACTGCCACTGCGAGTGCTGGCGGTGCTGGTGGTGCTGGCAGGGTTGTGCGATGAACACGAGAGAGCCGCGTCTGCATCTGGGGAATCTCCTGGCACTTGAATATCCACCTGAAGAATCCCCTGCCTTGGCGCCTTCCCTTTCTCGGCTGCACTCCCTGCGTTCTCATTCACTGATTGAACCTCCGATTTGCAATCCTCCTCGTACACCTCATCTGGTTCCCCCTCCTCCCCTCCGTCACACACAATAACTGTCACTGCTTCCCTTTCTGCTGCCTCTCCATCATCAGCCGATTCCTGACATTTCTCAGAGATCAACCAGCCTGGATTGTCAACCCTCTCGCCTTCAAACCCGTCCTCATCCCTCTCCTCCTTCCCATCCTCCTCCATCTCTCCCTCCCTTTCCTTCCCCCGCTCCTCCCAATTACCCTCACTAAAATCTCCATAATCCACATCAACCTTTCTCCTCCTCGGAGTTGTCAGATTGTAAATATTCAGATCCATACTGCCGGTCCGCCGAACCTCCCCGACCTTCAGGTTCGCGTTCCCGAGCCTCCCCCTCTGAAAAATAGGGCTGCGTGGTCCCACCAATTCTCCAGGCGCTTCGCAATCCCTCAATCTCTCCAGTCGCATGCCTTGCATTTCTTTCAGCGCCTCCCTCGGGCTCTGCTTCTGCTTCTGCCTCTGCCTCTGCCTCTGCCTCTGCCTCTGCCTCTGCCTCTGCCTCTGCCTCTGCCTCTGCGCTCCTCTCCTCTCCCCCCTCTCCTCCGCATCCCTACTCTCTTCCGTCCCTTTCCGCCACCCATTCACCTGCCTGGCTTTTTCCACATTCTCCTCCTCTCCTGGGGATTTCAGCACCGACTCGCCTTGCCCCGTTATTTCCAAAACTGCCCGACGCCTCCTCCCATGTGCCCCAACCACTGTAACCAGCACCGCCATTTTTTCCCCTCCCTTCTCCCCCCCAACCTCCCTTCCCCCGCTCACTCCCACCCTCGCCATGTCTTCTTCTTCCACCTCTTCCTCCTCGTCCTCTCCCTCACTTCGTGTTCGATCCGATGCGGTTCCGTGGGAATTCACACGAGAAACAGCGTGACTATAACGAGGGTCAATTATCTCCGCTCCAGCGCGCACGAGTCTTCGTACAGTAGAGTCACCAGCCTCTCGAGGCCGGCCCTGGGGCGGGTTGTTCTTATAACGAAGGCCATGGTGCTGCAGCTGCTGCTGCTGTCGCTTCTGCATCTGCCGCTGCTGCTCCCAGTGCTGTCGCTGCTGTTGCTGCCTATACTGCTCCTGCAGGCTCGGCCGCACCAGCGGCCGGTTTGCCAGCTCCCGTTCCTGCATCGGAACCTTCCCCGCCCCTTCCTGCTCGTAGCGACCACCTCCACAACCATAATCTGCTCTGCCATAGCTGCTGCTGCTGCTGCTGCCATCTCGGCTGGTGGTACCGCGCTCGTCGTACCCGCCGCGAGCAGCACGATTTTGAACGGCGTAACGAGGATCTGCCCAAGAATCACAGGATGCTGAGGTGGTCGAGGAGGACCCACCAGACCTTCTAGACCTGCTGGTAGTGCACGGAGCGTCCATCGTAGTGCGCCCCATCTGCGACTCCATCTGCGACTCCATCTGCGAATCCATCTGACGCCCATGCAGAGGCTGAGACTGAGACCTCCAGTCGGTGAGCAGCGGGTGTGATCGGAAGGGCGAGTTACCGCGGCTGGCGATCGTGGATTGCAAGTCGCTGAAAGAGCCCTCAGGGGACAAGTCAAAGGTGCGAAAGGAACCCTCAACCTCAACTGTCGTTCCCGTTTCCAGCACGCGTCGGTACTTCTCATCGTTCTCTTCATCCTCTGCATTGCCGTTCCCGTTATCGTTATAGTCGCTACTAGGCGAGCCGCGACTGGCAGGAGATTCGCAGGGAGAGGAGGTGAGCTGGTAGGGTTGTCCTGTCAGGTCGAGAGGCGATAAGGGGCCGCCAGGAGAGCTCCACGTGGACTGGTTGTCCACGTTGGACAGTGCCACGTTGGACAGTGCCACGCTGGCATTCGAGTAATCAGCGATTGGATCGGCTCCGCGCTCGGGCATTGGCACCGCACTGGCATCAGCATGAACACCGCCGCTGACGCTGCCGCCGCCATTGCCGCTGCCATTGCCGTTGCCACTGGCACTGCCGCTGCCGCTGCATCTGCCACCGCCACTCCCACTGGTGCTCGCGCCCCTGCTGGTGCCGCCGGTGCCGGTTTTGGCGTCAGCGGCGCTGGTGCCAGTGCCAGTCCCCACTCTGCACCCCACTTGCGCCCGTCCTGCCCCACCCTCGGCGCCACAAGCAGCCTCATTACTAGCCGATTCGTTACAAGCCAACCCTTGGGTGAAGCTCATGCTGGCGCCAGCGCCAGCGCCAGCGCGTGCGTGCGCGGCGGAGCCCCCGCCGCTGCTGATCCCCAGCCATGCCAGGTCCAAGCTTGCTGGCCGGTGCCTCTGATACAGCGGCAGCGGCGCCGGCGGCGGGGGAGGCGGTGGGGGAGGCGGGGGAGGGGTTAGCAGCGGTGGTGGCGGTGACGGCGGTGGTGGCAAGGCGCGCCCCTTGCTATAACCGTCCGCTACAGCCGGCCAGCCGGCAGCAGCAGCAGCGCCGGCGCCGCCACGGCCGGCAAGCCTCCCGCTGCCGGGGAGAGAGGAAGACGGAGGGAGAGAGGAAGACGGAGGGAGAGAGGAAGACGGAGGGAGAGAGGAAGACGGAGGGAGAGAGGAAGACGGAGGGAGACAGGAAGATGGAGGGAGAGAGGAAGACGGAGGGAGCGGGTTAGGCGGCAACTGGTGGGGACAGCCTCGCTGCATCGTTATTGCGTTGACCACGGACGACATTATCCGGCTCGAGATGAGCCGGCGACTATACTGCTGCGGTGCCACCAATCCTTTTGCGCTCCCGTCCGCAACTGGCGCCGCAGAAACCGCAGGTGCGGCAGAAACTCCTGAAATTTCTACCGCGGAAGAAGCAGAAACGGCAGAAGCCGAAGAAGCAGCAGAAAGAGCAGAAGCAGCCGCAACAACCGCAGAAGTTGATGACGCAGCAGAAACTGCAGTAGTTCCGGCCACAGCAGGAGCTGCCGTTGCCGGTGCTGCAGCGTCCTCGGCTCCTCCAAGCGCCAATTGATTTTGAGGCATCTCAGACGCAGCCGACCTCTCAGAAACTGCCACGCGGCGAGCCTCCGCTGGCGCTTGCCCCGTGGGGCGAGCTTCGGCAGCGGCTGCGGCGGCGGCGGCGGCTGCCATGACAGTAAGATCCCAGCTCCCGAACCGTCGGTGTCTCCCCCCGCCTCCGCCTCCCCCCCCTTGCGCCGTCTCCCCCTGCGCGGCAGCTCGCCCCGAAGCCATGGCGACGATCTCCGCGTGCAGCGGCGGAAGCGGCAGGCGGCGCTGATTGGTCGGATCCGCTGAGTCCCAGCTGCGGCGGCGATTGCGGAAGTCGGAAGCAGCGGCGGCGGAAAAAGAGCTATTTAGATTCGCAGCCGGGCCGGGAAACGAGTTGCTTGACCTGGTAGCACCAGGAATGGCGTCAGTCGGGTAAGCAGCAGCAGCAGCAGCAGGAAATGGTTTACTTAGTTCCGCAGAAGCAGCAGAAGCCGGTGCTAAGTCAGCAGCGGGAATAGGCGCAGGAGCAGGCAGGTGAGGGGGGGGAGCCATGGCGGCGGGACGAGCTAAGGCGTCGACCGACATCGTTGCATCTGAGCAGATCGTGTGAACATGCCAGCTGCGCTTGATGTGAAATGCTTGAACGGAGCGCTTGAAGTGACTCGACCGTAGTAAACCGTGGTAGTTAACCGAGGGATGGGCTGAGAGAGTCGAAGGTCCTAGCAGACAGAACGAGCCCTTTCTGGTAGGCTGTTAGCCGTTTCGTCGGTTGCTCTCGCGATAATCTCGAGGCGCAAGCGATTCGCGATTTGAAACTGAGTCGTCGGGTTGAGGAGAAATGAACTTAAGCAGCACTCTCGGTACAAGAATACCTCGCGGCCTAACGGGAAACCATTTTGCTCCTTCTCACGGTGGAGCATCGCGCTGCTTCTCACGCCTCATGAGGCGGCGAGTCCTCTCGAAGAGCATCAAACTACCATAAGCCGCCTCACGCTCCTCGGAGTTGATAATCGTTCAATCGACTCAGTAAATCGGCTCATAGAACCACAAGCCGCGTCGCGCTACTTGGAAGATCTCAAGGGATCTGATCTCAATCCATCCGCGCACTGTACGGCGGATAAGAGACTTCTCCTGACAGATAAGAACCTACTCCTGGCCACAGAACGAAAATCTTCCCGACGCTCCCACGAGCCGCCTAGGGTTGTAAATCATTCCGGAGGGGTCCCAAAAGCCGTTCCCACGAGCGGCCTTGGGTCGTGAATCATGAATCCGTATTGCGCCGAACGGTCACCAGCGGCTCTTAGGAACGCGCGGCTCGGAAAACGCCGGGGACTCGAGGCGTCCCGCTACCGGCGCGAGGTGAACAGACGGCGCGAGAAGCTGGCGGTGGGAAGTAATACGAGATGGGGACCTGGCGAGTAGAGCTGGCGCGCGGAAGCAAGGAGCGCGACGAGCTGGCGAGAGGCTAATAAGAGCTGTCGGCCTGGCGGGAGGGGCTGGCGCGGAAGCAACGAGCTGGCGGAAGGAGCTGGTGCGGAAGCACGCGCGCGCGGAGCTAACTGGCGGGCCTGGCGGAGCCATGTTGAGGCCAACTAAGCGCTCTCTAGGCATGCCGGTTGGGTAGAGGAAACTAGTCGTTAAAGACATCACTGGCACTAGGCTGACGCCAGGCTCGCCTAGTTGACGTAATGTGGGTGACAGCCCGCGATCGTGCCGCGCGGCTGGTTAAAAGGAACAGGTCGTTAAAGACATCACAGACACACGACTGGAACCAGGCCCGGCTAGTTGCAACACGTTAGCTGACGCCAGACTCGGGTAGTTGAAACACCCCGACGAGCTCGGCTACTTCGCGAACGTGGCTGACAGCTGGCGACGATAATCCCTCCCACAGCAGGTTGCAACTGGTGCTGGTGGGACTTCGTAACTTCGGATTGACTGCTCAGTTGACCCACGCGGTTCTGACCATGGGGGAGCAATTTTCGCGACAGCGGATTTCAACGGTTCCTCCAACTCGCCCTGGTGGTTCAACATGGCAGCCATGGCTAGCTTAGTTGCTCAGCTAGTTGTGCAGCGCACCTGTTGCTAGTGACGAATGGTGATGGCGAGTGGTGCGAGTGGTGCGAGTGGAGGGGGAGGTAAGGTTGGTTATGGCGGGAGTGAGTTGGGTAATCGCGCATTAGATCTTGTTCGTAGTTTTGACACCAACTGCTTATGCGTGTCAACCCGAGTCGGCCCACTTTCCAGTGTCTATCACTGTAGGAGCTGGGTCAACTCGAGTCGCGCCCATGAAAATGTGCGACGAAGCCTCATTGGTGGGACACGAAATATCTGTTATTGTGCGATTACATGTACGTGCCAAACTGTCAGGCGCAATCCCATCGAAGTTGATTTAAAGCCCGAGTTCTACATGGTTATTTTCAAGTTCAAGATTCCTGAATATGAATTCGCCAAAAACCATGTTACCACCCGAAGTGGAGCATTCTCTCACGATAGAGATCTGTGATTGGCCAGCGACACTCAAAGTCATATCGAGCAGTGGGTCAGCAGGCAAGGCAGCACTGTTCACTTGAACTGAACTTGAAAACCATCTTGTACTACTTGTCAAGCATACTAGACATAGTTCACCCGTCATTCACGCCCAAAAATCACTCCGTTTGAGGGCACAACTCATGTACCAACTTTCGCAAGATGCTCCTGCTATATTCTCCCTGGTCTAGAGCTAGGTTGCTGGTCGCTTAGGTTCCCCCATTCGCCCTCGCTTGCCCGCGACGCTTTCAGTTCTTTGGCTCCCGTTACTCGTTTCCTCGCGTCGTCCACGATCGCGCTCCCTTCTGTTCGTCGCCCACGCTTCCAACCGTTGCTCCCTTCCATTCGCCTCACTCCCTTCCGTTCGTCGCCCTCCCTTCCGCGCGTCGCCCTGCTCGTTGCTCTACCTTTCGCCCGTCGCCCTCCCATCCGCTCGTCGCTCTACCTTCCACGCGTCGCCCTCCCATCCGATCGTCGCTCCCGTCGCCCTCCCTTCCGCCCTTCACCCTCCCTTCCGCCCGTCGCCCACCCTTCCGGCCGTCGCTCTCCCTTCCGCCGCCGCTCTCCCTTCCGCCCGTAGCCTTCCCTTTGTCTCGTCGCCCTTCCTCCCGCTCGTCCCCTCGCAATCTGCGTCTTCCTCTCTCCCCGTCGCCCTCGCCATCCCTCCCGTCTCCCTTCCCATCGCGCTCCCTCTGTTCTCTTCCCTGCTTCCCCCCATCCCCTTCCCTGCTTCCCCCCATCCCCTTCCTTGCTTTCCCCCATCCCCTTCTCTGCTTCCCCCCATCCCCTTCCCTGCTTTTCCCCATCCCCTTCCCTGCTTCCCCCCCATCCCCTTCTCTGATTCCCCCCATCCCCTTCCCTGATTTCCCCCATCCCCTTCTCTGCTTCCCCCCAACCCCTTCCCTGCTTCCCCCATCCCCTTCCCTCCATCCCTTTCCCTGCTTCCTCCCATCCCCTACCCTGCTTCCCCATGTCCCCTTCCCTGCTTCCCCCCCATCCCCTTCTCTGCTTCCCCATATCCCCTTCCCTGCTTCCCCATATCCCCTTCCCTGCTTCCCCCCATCCCCTTCCCTGCTTCCCCCCATCCCCTTCCCTGCTTCCTCCCATCCCCTTCCCTGCTTCCCCCCATCCCTTTCCCTGCTTCCCCTCATCCCCTTCCCTGCTTCCCACCATCCCCTTCTCTGCTTCCCCCCATCCCCTTCCCTGCTTCCCCATATCCCCTTCCCTGCTTCCCCCCATCCCCTTCCCTGCTTCCCCCCATCCCCTTCCCTGCTTCCTCCCATCCCCTTCCCTGCTTCCCCCCATCCCTTTCCCTGCTTCCCCTCATCCCCTTCCCTGCTTCCCACCATCCCCTTCTCTGCTTCCCCCCATCCCCTTCTCTGCTTCCCACCATCACCTTCCCTGATTTCCCCCATCCCCTTCTCTGCTTCCCCCCAACCCCTTCCCTGCTTCCCCCCATCCCCTTCCCTGCTTCCCCCCATCCCATCCCCTTCCCTGCTTCCCCCCATCCCCTTCTTTGCTTCCCCCCATCCCCTTCTTTGCTTCCCCCCATCCCCTTCCACGCTTCTTCCCTACCCCTGCCCTGCTTCCCCTCATTCTCTGCCCTCCCTTCCCTTCTCTCCCCATTCCCTCCCCCTTTGCTCCCCCTCTTCCGCGCAGCGAGCCATCGAAGCACCGCATCCAGCAGATCTTCGACTGGATCTGCCATGAGGCGAACCCCTTCACACACACCGCCACCCCGCTCATGGAGCGGTACTTGCCCACTCCGCACTTCAGCGGGTTCTGCGAGATGGGCTTCTCTTCTGGTGGAGCTGCGAGGCAGCCTCCTGTCGAGACTGCTTTCAGCCTCGCCTGCTGCCCCATACTTGGAAGCTGCTCTGCCTGACAGCCAACACTGTGCAGGCAAGGAGTTGAAGGTGGATCAGGGGGCAGGGGTAAGGGAATTTGCTGTGCGGCATGGTCACTGCGGCGTGGCGTGGGAGGAACGGGGAAAGGCAAGCACAGGGTGAAGGCAGGCAGGTGCTGTGGCAGATGCTGTGGCAGGTGCTGTCGCCTGCCAGCACGCCAGAGGTACTCTTAGAACACTCTAGCAGCTGTGAGAGATGCTTCTGTGATGATAGTGGTAGAAAGGGGGTATTGTGTATGCCCAGATCTCAGTGTTGACCCAAGCTCTTTTTCGTGATGCAACATGTGGATACCTGCCCTATTGCGGTTGCTGCTGACGTTTCTGATTATGCAATTGGCAGTCTTGTGAGTGCAGCACTTCGGGGGTACCGCAAACCTGACACCTCTCTCGAAGTTCAAGGGTATTGGGGTAACAGATTGCACAAAGACCGTAATAAGAGATGAAGTGAGCGCAAAGAATATACCTACCAAACACACACAACATAAATCCCCAAGACCAAACATAGAGTCCAAAAGTGGATTGGCATAAGGGCGAGTCATATATGGTGAGTACGCAGCTCATGAATCACTGTGTTCAGGCTGGTAAGTAGCACTTCAAACCGGTGAAGCAAGGGTGCCCTTCTTGAACGCACGACATCGTAGTCAACCTGCGCTGGCGCTGCGGCTGGTGGGAGGAGAACTCAGCAAAGGCGAAGGGCAGCGAGGCGGGGGGAAAGGCGGAGAGCAGCAGGAAGTGCAATCTAAGCCGTTGAATCTTGGAGGGATCGCGGGTGAGCGTGGCAGGGCAAACAAGCCCGATCACCCAATGTCGCTCAATGTCGGGCGAAGGGGCACAGGGGTTGCTGCAATGGGTTCAAGGTTCAGGGTATGAGGAGAAAGGAATGGCGGAAGAAGGAAGGAAGCACAGTGAGGTGACACGAGCACAAGGCAACGGCTCATAGCAGCGTCACTCAGGTGACTGCAGGTCAGATGCACATAGCAGCCACAAGGCACGGGCACGTAGCAGCGGCATATAGCAGCAGCGCATAGCATCCAGTGACGGCTGAGGGCTCACAGGGATCACAGACCGGGGATGAAAGGGAACGGGGAGGGCGAGAGGAGGTGTTATGTACAAAAGAAACAAGCCCAGCATGGCAGCGGCACATAGCAGCAACGCACAGCAGCATGAGGTGACCGGTTGAGGGCTCACAGAGATTACAGGTCGTTGATGAATGGAGTGGGGAGAACACCGCTCATGCTGCCACCGCCATGTGCATGCATGACGTCGCACAGAACCGGCACGCTCACTGCCACGTCAGCATGCATGCCGGTGACGTGGCAGCAATGGCACCGGAAGGGGCAGCCGCAAGGGAGGCGAGGGTGAGCGGCAGCCAGTCGTGGTAGAACTGGTGCAGCAGCTGGTCCGCCTCGTCCACCACCTGATGGGGGCAAGACATGATGCAGGCGATGAAGGGGGTGCACGGAGGGAGGCATGGGGAGGCATGGGGATGCATGGGGGGGTATGGGAAGGCATGGGGAGGCATGGGAAGGCATGAGGAGAAGCGGAGGGGGGAATGAGGAGAAGCGGAGGGGGGAATGAGGAGAAGCGGAGGAGGGAATGAGGAGAAGCGGAGGGGGGAATGAGGAGAAGCGGAGGGGGGAATGAGGAGAAGCGGAGGAGCGAATGAGGAGAAGCGGAGGGGGGAATGAGGAGAAGCGGAGGGGGGAATGAGGAGAAGCGGAGGGAGGAATGAGGAGAAGCGGAGGGGGGAATGTGGGGAAGCGGAGGGGGGAATGAGGAGGAGCGGAGGGGGAAATGAGGGGAAGCAGGGGGGGAAATGAGGAGAAGCAGAGAGGGAAATGAGGGGAAGCAGTGGGGGAAATGAGGGGAAGGAGGGGGGGGGGGGAATGAGGGGAAGCAAGGGGGGAACGATGAGAGCAGAGGGGGAAACGAGGGGAAGCAGCGGGGTAAATGCGGGGAAGCAGAGGCGGACATGAGGGGAAGCAAAAGGAGAAATTAGGGGAAGGAGAGGCGGACATGAGGGGAAGCAAAAGGAGAAATTAGGGGAAGCAGGAGGTTAAATATAGGAAAATCAGGGGGCTGGAATAGGGGAAGCAGGGGGGAAACCAGGGAAAGCAGGGGAGTAAATGAGGGAAGAAGAGGGGGGAATGAGGGGTAGCAAACGGGGAATGAGGGGAAGCAGAGGGAATAGAGGGGAAGGTAACAGGAGGGAATAGAGGGGAAGGTAACAAGCAGCGGGAGTGGAGGCGCGAGGAGGGGCAGTGCGACGAGGGTGTTCGCGCGCTGATGGCAGGGGAGGCGCGGCGAGGTGAGCGGAGGCGCGGCGAGGCGAGCGGAGGCGCGGCGAGACGAGCGGAGGCGCGGCGAGACGAGCGGTGGCGCGGCGAGGCGAGCGGAGGCGCGACGAGGGGAGCCAAGGCGCGGTGAGGCAAGCGGAGGCGCGGCGAGGAGAGCGGAGGCGCGGCGAGGCGAGCGGAGCCGCGACGAGGCGAGCGGAGGCACGACGAGGTGAGCGGAGCCGCGACGAGGGGAGGCTCCCAGAAACGAGCGGGCGTGATGATGGGACAGGGGGCGCGGCGATAAGAGACGCAACTACGGGAGGCGAGGCACAAAATTATTTTGTATGCGCGGGTGAAGTTCATAAATTCTGCGTATTTTACTATGCTACGATGCGCTGTCGGGATGTTTTCTGGCTAGTACTAACACAAGACTGGTGAGGTTGGCTACTCGTTTGGTTGGTTAGTTGGGTTGGTTTGTCGCACACAAATACCGATATTGAGTGACGAATTCCCAATCCCCTCGCAGCCTGATCTCGCTTTCGCCCCGCCCATATTCCCGAAATGATTTTTTTTGCTTTTCGCCAACACGTTTAAAGCCCTTCAGAAAATTTGCCAAAAACCATGCTGACCTCGGGCTTTAATCGCCACCCATGTCAGGCCCGTCATTTAAAGCAGCAGTATACATTTGAAAGCACTGTTTGTTTTGTGAACTGTGCCAAGAAGGATTCGCATCAACGAAACAAAAAACAGACTGGCGAGAGTGTTGGCGAAAAACTGAGGCGGGACTGTTGTTAGGGAACAAGGGTTGGGTCAGTCACACACGAACTCACCTGCCTCGCTGGCACACTTAGGAGAAGAGGGTGGTAGCTATTAGAAGTGATTGAAGTACCAAACGAGTGGGCTAGTGGTTGCTAGACGTGGAGCGCGACCACACACATAGTCGCGGGTGAGTAATTAGCCATGTGCAGAGCAGGCGACGGCTAAAGCGACCAGCAAAAACGCCCGCCATCTCGTTCACGTGCACTAATATTCCGCCGCAATGCACTCGGACGATGGCACAGAGGCATTCGCCTCAATCCGCCGTATTGTATACTTAGCGCCCGTCGAAACCTATCTAATGCGCCACTACGATGGGCATTCGACGCGCTCCCCGCAATGGCTTCGTGCATTCAGAAAATACACATTTGACGAGGGGAGGTATTTGCACTCCTCCGCCAGCCAGCTGGCCCATCGCCCTTAGTCAGGATTAGCCTGTGCAGCAGCAGTTGCGCGCTCTCCTCGAGCCTCGAACGCGCGCCTGCATTCCGCGCGAGCCAGCGCAGCGCGCGCCAGCAAAACGCGCGCAGCAGAGCGGCGCGCGCCTGCATAGCGAGTGCAAATGACGCTCGCGCGTCAGCAAACAGCACGCGGTTGCAGGCACGCGCGCTCCAGCCCTATTTCCCCCCCTGCGCCCATATTTCCCCCTATGCCAGCCCCATTTTCCCCCCCTGCCAGCCCCATTTTTCCCCCCTGCCAGCCCCATTTTCCACCCTGCTAGCCCCATACTTCCCCCCATGCTAGCCCCATGTTTCTGCCCTCTTAGCCCCATGTCACCCCCCTACTGCTGGCCCTATATTTCCCCCATGCTAGCCCCATTTTTCCCCTCCTTTCCCCCCTGCTTCCCCCCTTTCCCCCCACGGCTTCCCCTCCTTTCCCCCCTTGCTTCCTCTCCTTCCCCCCCCAGCTTCCCCCCTTTTCCCCCACGGCTTCCCCTCCTTCTTCCCCCATGCTTCTCCTCCCTCCCCCCCCTGCATCCCCTTCTTTCCCCCCTTGCCCTCCTTTCCCCCCCTGCTTTACCTCCTTTCCCCCCCTGCTTCTCCTCCTTTCCTGCTTCCCCTCCTTTCCCCCCCCTGCTTCCCCTCCTTTCCACCCCTGCTTCCCCCCTATTCCCCCACGGCTTTCCCTCCTTCCCCCCCCTTCTTCCCCTCCCTTTCCCCCCTGCATCCCCTCCTTTCCCCCCTTTGCTTGCCATCCTTTCCCCCCACTGCATCCCCTCTTCTCCCCCCCGGTTTCCCCTCCTTTCCCTCCCTGCATCCCCTCCTTTCACTCCTTGCATCCCCTCCTTCCTCTCCCTGTTTCCCCTCCTTTCCCTCCTGTTTCCCCTCCTTCCCCCCCCTGCATCGCCTCCTTCCTCTCCCTGTTTCCCCTCCTCTCCCCCCCTGCATCCCCTCCTTTCCCTCCCTGCATTCTCTGATTTCCCCCTCTGCTTCCCCTCCTTTAACTCCCTGCATTGTCTCCTTTCCATCCCTGCAACTCTCCTTTACCCCATCTCACCCAAGCAACTCCCTTTCTCCTCACTTGCCATTTCCTGCCGCTATATGCATTGGATGTGTCTGCCATGACTGTCCCCATGCACCCCACCCATCCTCCACGCTCCCCATCTCTCCCATCCCATTCCTCCCTCCCCCCATCTCTTCCTCACCCCATCTCTTCCTCGCCCCATGTCTTCTTCACCCCAACTCATCCTCACCCCATCTCTCCCTCACCCTGCCTCTCCCTCACCCCATCTCTCCCTCACCCCATCTATCCCGCCTTCTATCTATACCCCCCATGCCCCCCATTTCATCCTCTTCCCAGCAATTCCTCGGCCTCTAAGCGGTAAGCGTGTCCCGTGTGCCTGTTTTCGCCGGCTTCGTCCCCAGTCAGATTGGGCTCGTACGGTGCTGGTGCAGGCAGGGGTTGATCAACGATGGCGCAGCAACAGCGCTGTCGCCTCCCTTCTCCCTTCCTAATATCCCCTCGTCACTCTCTCCCTCCTATTTCTTCCCTGTCGCGCCCTCTTTCTCTCCCTCCTATTTTCTCCCCCATATCATCTGTCCATGTGTCAGGTGGGCAAGGAGGCAGCCATCCGCACCAACACCAGCCTTTCTCCTGTTCACAGCGTGCAGCTCTATGCTCGATCCGCTCGTGCCTTCACCGTCTATTTGGGCACGCTCTGAATGCTTGTTCTGGGAACGGGTTTAGAGTCACTTGTTGCTTGTACTTACATGGACATTTCTTTGTAGACCCTCTGACCTCCTCCCCCCTTCCCGTGGTACCAGTACCAGATTATGGGATGGGAGATGCTGAGCATGTCATCACAGCCCCCACCCCACCCTCAAAGCAATAAATGCTTCGTTTTCACTGCTCATGGTTTGCACCATAGGTATCACAACATTATTGATTGCATCATACTAATAAAATCACATAACAACAATTGTCTCAAAGGATACAAATTCGAGTATGCGGCCTATTACATCGCCTCTCCTTATCCTCTTCTTCATCCTCCCCATCCTCAACACCAACCCTAAAACCTAGCGGCCCCTGTTGACGACGCGCATGACCCCGCAAGAACATCACTGGTGTCTGGAGGGAATCGCAGGAATGGAGGCGGGTACAGAGGAGACGAAATGAAAAGGTACTGGGAAAAGAAGGAGTGACAAAGGGATGGGTGGGGGGCAGTACAGAAACTGTAATCAACACGGCATAGCACATTACCGCATTGGGTTGGGAAGTGTCGACAAGGGTTGGCAATAGGCAAGAAAAGGAACGTTAGCAGTGGAAAGGCAGAATGGTTGGGGAAGGAAGAGAGGGTAGAGGGAAGGGAGAGAGGTGCATTGAGGGGCAGGAAACTGCACAGCGGGCGAAGGACAAGGCAGGTGAGTTGCAAGTGGTGAGGGGTGGGGTGGAGAGTGAATGTTATGGGAAGATGGAAAAGAGGCTGTGGTGGTGGGAAGCTCCCGTGGGGATGCATGAAGGGGAGATGAGGAGGTGGGACAAAGAGATCGGGTGGCAAGACAGAGAGGTGCTGGTACCCTGGCACAGAGAGGTGCAGGCAAATTGGCACAGATAGGGCTTTTCTTAGACGCATAGAGGAAAGGGCAAGAAGACAGGCGCAGGGAGGGAGGGGCAGGAAGAGAGGCGCAGAGAGATGAGGGCAGGAATAGCGGCACAGAGAGTGGATGGCAGTGAGAGAGGCGCAGGGAGGGAGGGGCAGGAAGAGAAGCGCCGAGAGGGAGGGGCAGGAAGAGAGGCGCAGAGAGATAAGGGCATGGAAAGATTCACAGGCTATGCTGGAGGGTAGGGTAGATGCAGATAGCAGACCGACTCACACTGCGGCGGGAAGCCTAACTATGCTAGATAGTTTAGGATAGTGCATGGGAAGGAAAGGGGCTAGCAGGTGGGAGTTGAGCTAGTTCGAGGGGGGTAGGCTAGCAGGACAAGAAGGTGTGGATGAGCATGAACGTGGAGAAGCAGAGGAGCAGCAGACGCAGCAGGGCCGAGTGTGAGAACTGCTTTCTTAGAACTCGTACCCTCCAATTAAGAATAAGTCTACTTACCAGGTGTGGCGGGAGGACGGCAGTAGTGTGAACATGAGAGCAGAAAAACAGAGCAGCAGCGACCCCAGCAGCGCAAGGTGGATCCCCCGCCACTCCACAGCGCCTCTGCTGCAGAACGCCACACGCGTGTTGAAATTGACGTGCTCCGCACTCGTGCGCACGAACTGACCCTCCTTCCCACAGACTCAGATCACTGCTGCCCCAGTCAGAGACCTGGCTGGTTAGAGAAAGTGGGCGGGACGGGGAAGGGTGAGGAAGAGCGAAAAGGGGAGGGGTGGAGGGAATGGAGGGGAGGGGCGGAGGGAATGGAGGGAAGGGAGGGAAGGGAGGAAATGGTGAGAAGGGAGGGAAAGGAGGGAAGTGAGGGAAGGGAGGGAAGTGAGGGTAGGGAGGAAAGGGAGGGAAGGGATAGAAGGGGGGGAATAGAGAGAAGAGAGAGGGAAGGGAGGGAAGAGAGGGAAGGGAGGGAAGAGAGAGAAGGGAGGGGAGGGAGAGAAGGGAGAGAAGGGAGGGAAGGGAGGGTAGGGAGGGTAGGGAGGGAAGGGAGAGAAGGGGGGAGCTGGAGAGAAGGGAGAGGGAAGGGAGAGAGAGAAGGGAGGGAGAAGTGAGGGCGTGCAAGGGGAAAAATGAGGGCGTGCAAGGGGGGAAGTGAGGGCGTGCAAGGGGGAAATGAGGGCAGGGCAGAGGGCGAAAATGAGGGCGTGCAAGGGGGAAAATGAGGGCGTGCAAGGGGGAAAATGAGGGCGTGCAAGGGGGAAAATGAGGGCGTGCAAGGGGGAAAGTGAGGGCGTGCAAGGGGGAAATGAGGGCAGGGCAGAGGGCGAAAATGAGGGCGTGCAAGGGGGAAAATGAGGGCGTGCAAGGGGGGAAATGAGGGCGTGCAAGGGGGGAAATGAGGGCGTGCAGGGGGAAAACGAGCGCGTGCAAGGGGGAAAGTGAGGGCGTGCAAGGGGGAAATGAGGGCAGGGCAGAGGGCGAAAATGAGGGCGTGCAAGGGGGAAAATGAGGGCGTGCAAGGGGGAAAATGAGGGCGTGCAAGGGGGAAAGTGAGGGCGTGCAAGGGGGAAATGAGGGCAGGGCAGAGGGCGAAAATGAGGGCGTGCAAGGGGGAAAATGAGGGCGTGCAAGGGGGGAAATGAGGGCGTGCAAGGGGGGAAATGAGGGCGTGCAGGGGGAAAACGAGGGCGTGCAAGGGGGAAAATGAGGGCGTGCAAGGCGGAAAATGAGGGGAGGCGAGAGGAGGCCGCGCGGGGAGGAGAGAGAAGGCTGCGCGGGGAGGCGAGAGGAGGTCGCGCGGGGAGGCGAAAGGAGCGAGCGGGGAGGCGAGAGGACCACGCGCGGAGAGGCGAGAGGAGCACGCGCGGGGAGGCGATAGGAGGCCGCGCGGGGAGGCGATAGGAGCGCGCGAGGGGAGGCGAGAGGAGGCCGCGCGGGGAGGCGAGAGGAGGCAGCGCGGGGAGGCGATAGGAGCGCGCGGGGAGGCGAGAGGAGCACGCGCGGGACAGCGACAGGCGAACGAGAACCGGGAGGCGATAGGAGCACACGCGGGTAAGGCAAGAGACTGCGGAAAGGGGACATCGAGCGCCCAGGAAGGGGAGATCAGACAGCGGGAAGGGGAGCGCGGGCGGCGAGCAGTGGAGATGGGGTGGCGGGAAGCGGAGGTCAGGCGGCGGGATGGTGAGAAGCGAGTGGGGCCTTGATTCCCCCTTCTCACCGCGAAATAAGCTCGAGATGCGAAGACGCGTACACCCTCTCGCATATGTCCGACGACTCAGAGAGGCCGCGAGCGGAACGCGACGAGTATGGCATTGTTCCGTCGCAAGGCGAGACCGCGCGAAGAGGGAATTCGAGAACGAAACTCCGTCCGTTCGAGTGCGCGCGAAGTAGCCTTACGACTTGTCTATAACTAGGAAGAGCGCGCCTCTAAAATCGGGTACGTGACGAGGCGTGCTCACGATGTGAGTTGTCTTTCCTAGGCAGCTGTGTGAGAAACTGAACGAGAATGAATTGACTAAGGGAAAGTTGGGTACAAATGCAAACCCTAGAAAACTGTACCCCATATGTGCTACCCCACTATAGCCTACAGTAGCTATGTCATATAAATCTGACACACCCCCATAGGCAAAGTGGGGGAGAACAAGGGGTCACAAGACCAGTCAAGCAAAGCAAAGCAAGCTCAGGGTGGATCACAAAGTCACCACACATTCCGAGCACAAGTTCAAGGCCACAAGGCCAGTTCACATGCAGGATTACATATATATATAAGGCTAGACAAGCAAGAGCAGGTGTATATATATATGCAACAGTACAAACAAGGTCAAGGGGTGAGCAAGTGAAGCAAGGTAGGCACAAGACCCAGCTGAGTACAGAAGCGCTGATGATCACAAGGCGCAAGTGCCTTGGTGAAGATATCAGCAGTGTTGGCCTGAGAGGCCACGTACGCAAGCCGCAGCTGACCACGCTGCTGTAGCTCACGAGCAAGGAAGTAGCGGAGAGCAATGTGCTTCGTTCTGTGCTCCAGTCTCTGCTCTCGACACAAGGCCAGCATGGCCTTGTTGTCTACGTACAGCACTGGAGGAGAACGAGGCGGCTCTCCGAGGTCAGTCAGCAGGTAGGTGAGCCAGCGAAGCTCCTGTGCAGCCATGGCCCCGGCGTAGATCTCAGCCTCACAACTGGAGCCGAAAACAGAAGACGAGCGGGTAGCCCGCCACAAAACAGAGCCGGAACCAAGGCTGAAGGTGTAACCCTGTGACGACCGCTGCGTAGCCTGGTCGTCAGCCCAAGAAGCGTCTGCGTGCCCAGTGAGGACCACTGGACTCTGCCCTCCAAGCACAAGCCCCATGCCCAACGTACTGCACAAGTAACGCAACACCCTCTTCGCTGCAGCCATGTGCTCCGGTCTGTGTCTCCCAGGAGCAACATAGCGTGCGAGAATGCTAAGAGGGTATACGAGGTCAGGTCGTGTGCAGGTCATCAGGTACATGAGGCAGCCAACAAGCTCTGGGTACGGGCCACTCGACTCTACAGACTCATCCGAAGGCAGAGCTGAGAGCGAGTGGCGAGTAGGCAGAGGAGTGGCCTGAGGCGAGGAGTACGTGAAGCCGAAGCGCTGAAGGACCTGCTGCACCATGTGTGACTGAGTCAGGGTAATGGTGCGGCGTGCTCTGTCCCGGGTGATCTGCAAGCCAAGGTAGCTGCGCAGTTCACCCAGGTCTATGCACGTGTGTCTCTTCTGCAGCTCGGACTTCACGTGGGCGAGTCCAGCAGTGTCAGCAGTGGCAAAGACCAAGTCGTCGACGTACACGAGGATGTAGAACGGCGGCAAAGAAGTGTCGGTGCGCAGAAACAACGACGGGTCGGCAGTAGAGGGAGCAAACCCAAGAGCCGCAAGTGTAGTCCTCAGTGTGTCGTGCCACTCACGCGGTGCCTGGCGGAGACCGTAGACTGGTCGCCGGAGGCTCCACTGGGTGCCAGGAGGAAAAGACCCAGTGAAGCCAGGTGGGCGACGCAGCCAGATCTCCTCGTGCAGGCTGCCCTGCAAGAAAGCAGTGCTGAAGTCAAGAGAGTGCAGCTCGTAGTCGCGGTGAGCAGCTATGTGCAGCAGTACCCAAAGAGTGGTCATCTTCGGGGTGGGAGAGAAGGTCTGAAAGTAGTCAACTCCCTGCCGCTGACTGAAGCCACGAGCCACGTAACGCGCCTTGAAGACAGGCGGAGAACCCGGCGGTCGCTTCACCCTGAAAATCCACATGCCACTGACGATGTTCGCCCCAGGCGGGGGAACCTCGTCAACGTAGGTGCCTGTGGACTTCCAGGAAGCCATCTCTGTGTCCATAGCTGCCTGCCACTGAGAGGAGTAGGGACCCTCTATCGCCTCCGCGTAAGAGCGCGGAGTCGGGATGTCAAGTGCATCCGGGTCTCCCTCATGGGTAAGCAGTACGGACACGCGATGAGGTGAAGCAGCAGCCAAACACTGGAACTCCTCCTGCCTGTCCTCAAGGACGTCCGTGCCAAGGGCACACTCACCCCCGACGGACGGAGGACAGACAGACTCAGACTCAACGACAAGACTAGCAGCGTAGTCTAGACGACAACGAGCAGCAAAGTCGACGAGCTCAGCAACTAGGGCAGACGCAGCAGTGGACTCAAAGGAAGGGTCAGTGACGACAGTAGCAAGGAGACGCGTGACAGTAGGACTGGCAGCACGAAGAGAGTCCGACTCCGGGTCGGGAAGAGCAGGAAGAGAGGACTCAGGAGGAGAAGGCAAAGGGGCACGCAGAGGAGCAGTGGACGGACGCAGAGACATCCGGTGCGTGCCAGGGACAGGAGGAGGACGCGGACGCGAACCACGACCACTAGAGCGAGCAGGACGGACAGGCGACGCAGGGCGAGACACGGGCTCACGACGCTCAGCCAGACCTCCAGTAGGACCAGTGTAGGGAGAAGGAGCGGGCAGTGGGGAGGCCGGCTGTAACTGTAACTGTGACGGGACAGGCTGTGGACACTCTAAGGGAGGAGGAGGACCAGTAGAAGGCGGGAGACCAAGAACCTGCTGAAGGAGCGGAACGAAGTACGGCCGAGGCCGCGCGGCGACTCCAGACACGGCAGGGACAGCACCGGTACCCCCAGCGGCAGCACCAGCGCCAGCAGCACCTCCAGCTCCAGTACCTCCAGCAGCACCAGTAGCACCCCCAGCAGGACCGCCTCCAGGACCGACAGCAGTAGCCTCAGCGTCAACACCCTCAGCAGCTCCAGCTCCAGTCGTACCCGCAGGCCCAGCAGCTCCAGTACTCCCAGTACGAGCACCTCCGGGACTCGCGGCACCAGCACGCTCAGCAGCCGAAGAACCTCCAGCTCCAGCAGCACGCCTCCAGCGCCGGGCAAACCACTCGCGCAGCTCCTGTGGAGAGAGTGGCTCCCGCCGAGACGAAGCACCCGGAGAACCTCCAGGCTCAGCACCGCCAGACGCCACACGAGCAGGCCCAGCTCCCTCAGGCTCCGCACCCCCAGGCTCAGCACCTCCAGGCGTAGCACCCCCAGGCTCAGCACCCCCAGGCTCAGCACCCCCAGGCTCAGCACCCCCAGTAGTAGAACCCCCAGGCTCAGCACCCCCAGGCTCAGCACCCCCAGGAGTAGCACCCTCAGGCTCAGCACCCCCAGGCGTAGCACCCACACGCTCAGCACCCCCAGAGTCAGCACCCCCAGGCTCAGCACCCTCAGCAGCACCAGAGTCACCATTAACCTCGACAGGCTCGACGGCGTCTACCTGGGACACACCTGAAGGGGCAGGACCCTGAGGGGGGAGGGGGTCTACCGGGGGGGGACCTGGCACAAGGAAGAGCGGTGGCGGGGGGAGGGACGGAGTGCGGTAGGGGAAGAGGCGGTAGTAGGGGACCGACTCGTCAAACGTGACGTCCTGGGAGGACAGAACACGGCGAGAGGTGGGGTGGTAGAACTGCCACCCTGGCGCGTCAGGGGGGAAGCCAAGGAAGACGCAAGGAGCAGCACGAGGGGACAGCTTGTCCGCAGACAAGTCGCGGACAAACGCCCGAGATCCCCAGACACGGAACGCAGACGCATCGCCAACCTTCCCCGTCCACAGCAAAGCTGGGGAGGTCTCCGGCATGGAGACCCTGGGGTGAAGGTTGATCTGATGCGCGCGTACCGAACCGCAAACGGCCACAGAAAATGGGGGGCAGCCGCATGCATCATGGACGTACGGGCGACGTCCATGACCATGCCAATGCGGCGCTCAGCAATCCCATTTTGCTGTGGAGAGTCCGGAAGCGTGAAGTTCTGGCGGATGCCTCGTGCACGACAGTAGGCTCGCAGAAGGCCAGAGGAGAACTCTCCACCTCTGTCAGAGTGCAGACGCAGAACAGGAAAGTCCGAGCCGAAGCTCTGCCTGAGCTGGAGACGAGCTGCGCGGATCCAGTCGATCAACACCTCAGTGACATCACCCTTGCTGCGCAAGGGGAAGACTGTGGTGTAACGCGAGTAGTCGTCAACCACCAGCAGGAAGTAGCGCTCGTGACCCTGTCCACGGACGCGGGCCGGGCCCCACACGTCCATGTGAAGCGTATGCAGCGGGGCCTCTGTCGGAGGAAACTGGAAGGAGTGAGGGGCAGCCCGCTGCCGCCCCTCGACACAAGGGACGCAGGTAGGGCCTGGCCCCGGAGGAAGGGGAGGGAGGGACCGGGGAAGACCAGAGACAAGGACACGGGAGGCCATGCCTCGGAGACGAAGCAGGGAGGGGTGACCAAGGCGGTGGTGCCAGAGGAGAGTCTCGTGCGACAGGAGGCGACACGAACAGGGGGCAGACTCAGGACCAGACCTGGACGCTGCAGCAAACACCTGACCCGACGCAGCTACCTGACCAGACGCAGTGGCTGGATGAGACGCAGTGGTCAGTGTGTACAGGCTCGACCCCGGCCGACGTGTAAACGTGGCCAGGTGTCGGCCTGTCCGAGCGTCCGTGCAGTGGGTCACCCGCTGACTCGCAGGAGTGAACTGGTGAACCCCCGCATCCTGTAGGTCAGCACCACTCACCAAGTTCGTAGAGAACGAGGGGAGGTAAAGAC